CAGAGTAGCTGGAACTACAGGTGCCCGCCACCACGCCCAGCTAATTTTTTGTATTTTTAGTAGAAACAGGGTTTCACCGTGTTAGCCGGGATGGTCTCGATCTCCTTACGTTGTGATCCACCTGCCTCAGCCTCCCAAAGTGCTGGGATTGCAGGTGTGAGCCACCGTGCCTGGCCAATTTTTTGTACTGTTAATAGAGATGGGATTTCACGATGTTGGCCAGGCTGGTTTCGAACTCCTGACCTCAAGCACTCCACCTGCCTCAGCCTCCCAAAGTGCTAGGGTTACAGGTGTGAGCCACTGCGCCCGGCCTCAGGTGACGCTTCTTTTTTTTTTTTTTTTTTTAGGTTTTTTTTGAGACGGAGTCTCGCTCTGTCGCCCAGGCTGGAGTGCAGTGGCCGGATCTCAGCTCACTGCAAGCTCCGCCTCCCGGGTTCGCGCCATTCTCCCGCCTCAGCCTCCCGAGTAGCTGGGACTACAGGCGCCCGCCACCTCGCCCGGCTAGTTTTTTGTATTTTTTAGTAGAGACGGGGTTTCATCGTGTTAGCCAGGATGGCAGGTGACGCTTCTTAAAGAGAGCATCCTGGGGTGTGAGATGTGCTTGTTGGACAGGTGGGTGCTGAGTCACCCCCCTCCCCAGGACTGCCCGGGGTGGGAGCCTCTCAGAGTTGAAAGTCCCTGTCTCTCGCTGGTCTCTGGGTGACTGAGGGGTGTCAGGCCCCTGTCCTTGTCTCTGGGTGAATGAGGTTTCAGCCCTTTCTTCCCCTGTCCTGGGATCCTGTGACTCAGGTCTCGTTTTGCAAACGTGGAAGCTGAGGTCTGAGCAGGAGAAGCGCCTGTGTGGAATGGGGCTGGAACCCGGGTGCTCTGTGGTCTGGGTGGGCGAAGGCCGGGAGGGCCCCGGGTGGTGCAGGCCAGCACATTCTCTGTCTGCAGAGGAGCCCAAGGTGGGCATCAAGACCATCAAGGTGTACTGCCAGCGCATGCAGGAGGAGAACATCACGCGTGCCCTCATCGTGGTGCAGCAGGGCATGACGCCCTCCGCCAAGCAGGTGGGCACCCCCCGCCCCGTCCTTCAGCCTCTCGCCCTCCCCAGCCTCCTCCCCCGAGTAGGTGGGCACCCCTGCCCCAGCCCACCCCGCCAGCCTCTTGCCCTCCCCAGCCTCCTCCCCCGAGCAGCGCCCACAGGCGGCTCACGTGCCTTGGGCCAGCCCTGTCAGGGTGCCCTGGAGGATGTGGCCTGGATGTCTTACGAGCACCGACCACCTCCCTCTGACCCCGTCCATAGGCCCCACTGCTGAACCCCAGCCCCACCCCAGGCAGCTGCCGTCCTCCCCTGGTGCTCGGGAGGGGCGTAAGGGTGGAGGGCACTATGCCTCTCGCGCCAGTGCCTGTGTGCTGCAGCCCTCGGCCTGGTGCAGCTTGCGGGAGCCGGAGGTTCTTTGTCCTGAGCCGACGTCCGGGGGACGTGCAGAGGAGGCCCGGCACGGGGCGTGTTCCCCGTCTGTCTGTTGGACACTCCTGAGCCAGGCTGCCGTGCTGTGACGGGCAGTCACACAAAGCGGCACCCCGTATGGGGAGGAGGTCACCCTGCAGCTCTGAGGGCCGCCCCTGGAGGCATGTGACGGATGGAAACACATCCGAGTTTCCACGGCCTCATCACTGCTTATGACAGAGGCCCTTGATGAACGGAGAGGCTGGGGAGGGGCGGGCTGTTGAAGGCTCCTGGGCTGGCGGTGGGGTTTTCTGATTTATGACGTGGGGTGTGTTGGGGCACATGAGTAAGCTCTATGTAGCCTGAGGCAGGAAATGGAGTTGGGGTTGTCTGGGCCCCTCCAGGCCGTGCCTGAGAGCCACTCTCTTCCAGTCCCTGGTCGACATGGCCCCCAAGTACATCCTGGAGCAGTTTCTGCAGCAGGAGCTGCTCATCAACATCACGGAGCACGAGGTAGGCGGCTGTCGTGGGGCTGGCAGAGATGCAGGGTTTGCGGGTGACCAGGAAGATGTGGGATCTGGGGCCCAGGGTGGGTGCTCCCGTTAGTGTGTGGAGAACAGGGGTTCTCAAAGGGTGGCCCTGGACCTGCAGCAGCCAAACCCGGGAGCTTCTTAGAAATGCAGATCCCCAGGCCTACCCCAGCCTGTAGAACCGGGACCGTTGGGGGTGTGGAGGGACCCTAGTGCTGCCGACATGGCAGGAGGGGTCCCAGCGGGAGGCGGCTGTGCCCAGCCCGTCTGCCTCAGAAGCCTGTGGAGCCTGGGTGCGGGGGTGGGCTTCGTGAGTGCCAGGGGTCGGGGAGCGGGGTTCAGGGCTCTTGTCCATCTGGAGGCACTGGGGCTGTGGTGGCGCCTGGGAGCCGTGGGGTCTGGCCAGCCCTCAGTGATGCCTGGTGGCTTCCTCTCTCGGTAGCTGGTCCCTGAGCACGTCGTCATGACCAAGGAGGAGGTGACAGAGCTACTGGCCCGATAGTATCCTTTCCAGCCCCTGTCCCTTGAGACTTCCGTGTCCCCCTCTCCCTCCCCGGCTCCGTCTGGCATTTTCCTGACCCTGCTTCCCAGTAAGCTCCGAGAGAACCAGCTGCCCAGGATCCAGGCGGGCGACCCTGTGGCGCGCTACTTTGGGATAAAGCGTGGGCAGGTGAGCCTTGCAGGAAGAAGGGGCCCTGGGGCTGCTTTGAGCTGACCACTCAGAGAAGGGGCTTCTCTTCCTCCGTGACAGCCCCTGCCCTGCAACCCAGGGCCTAGATGGGACCTCGAGACCACACCCCCAATCCCCCCCCCCTTAAAGCCAGGGTCACTAGGCCCAGAGAAGAGCGTGACCCAGGTTCCCAGGGATCGGGTCCTGCAGCCCAGGGTCAGCATTTTGGTCCCCTGCCCGCCTGCTGTCTGGTGACTGCAGTGAGGCGCCTCAGGCGTTCCCAGCCCCTGCTCTCTGCCTCTGCAGGTGGTGAAGATCATCCGGCCCAGCGAGACGGCGGGCAGGTACATCACCTACCGGCTGGTGCAGTAGCCGCCACCTGACAGGTGAGACGGCCAGAGGGACAGGCACTGAGGCGGGGGGTGTTGTCCCCTCCAAGCTGTTCTCGCTTCGTCCAGCAGCAAACCCATCCTAGCACCAGCCCAGCTGGGCTACCAGGCGCTCCCAGGACATCTCCAGCCCCCACCTGACTACGCAGGGCGTGCGTCTCCCCCGCCACTGACCCACCTTAGAAGCGAGAGACGGGCGGGTGTGCGGGGGGCCTTTCCAGAAGAGGGTTTAGAAACCCACCTGGAGACCCCAGCGCTCGGAGAGGAGGGGTGGTTTCAGGCCAACCTTTCCCGGCGTGGGCACCTGGGGAGGGACTGGCCTGAGTCAGGAGCGGGACAGCCTTTGCTCATGTGAGAACCTCGCAGCTCCCCTGGACTCTGGTCCTGGCAGGCAGCCCCACTTCACACTCAGCCCAGGGGTGGGGCTCGGCCTGGTCTGATGCTGGCACAGTTCCTTCGAGGTCAGAGCCACTGCCCACACCTGTGAGACCGCTGGGCACAAGTGAGCCGCCCAGCCTCTGCACTGTGGCCTGGGCCTCCTGCACCTCCTTAATGCTCAGTAGTGGACGTTGGGCTGTCCTGGGCCGACTAGATCTGCCCCACTCGTGTGACCACTCTCCACTTTCCCAGCCCCTAGAGGCAGACACACAGTGACCCCCATCCGTGCAGGACAGACGCCCCTGCCTGAGTCCAGCCCCCCAGCTCTCATGGCTGCTGCTCCTCTGGACACCCCAAGGCAGGTGGCTTTCACCCAAGTTCTCCCGTCCTGGGCTGAGGCCCAGCCGGCCCCGTTCACCTGTGGATTTGTGCAAGCTGCAGCCTCAGAGAGACAAAGCCCCTGAGGGAGGTCACCTGGGGGCAGTTGGTGCTCGGCCCCCTCTGTTGGGGGTTTGGGGTCCCGGTCTCCCACCAGCCACTGCTTCCTCCCGGGCTCTCAGCCTTCTACCCCTTGTCTTCCCTTCCTCGGGGGCCCTGATGCGTGGTGGCCCCCGCCCAGCCTCAGCTCTTTACTCCATTCCCGGCTGTGCACACCCTCAAGCCACCAGGGTGTGAGATTCCAGCTCTGGAGTTTTCGGTGGTTGTAGGAGGTTGGGTGTTTTCAAACGTTAAAGATGTTTTGAGCAAATAAATTTGCTTGATATGAAAACCAGGCCTACTGAAAAGTTATTTAGCAGGTGGCCTTAGGTCTCCCCAAGCACATGAGGCCGGCTTGGCAGGCGGGCCCTCCTGCTGGCATTCTCTGGCCCTGGCTTCAGAGGTCAGCGCCTCCCCAGGCCCTCACCTCGCCCTCCCACTTGTGCTCCTGGATCAGGCGTGAGCGTGTCTGTCTCCTTTCCCTTCCCGTGAGGGTGTGGAGTTGTTCTCTGGTGTGCACAGCTGTGGTTGGTGGCCAGTTCCTCGTATAGACGTTTGGGATCTGGCTCTACTTCCCCCTTTGTCTGATTTCAGGCCTCGCCTGCCCAAGTTTAACCCAGCCGCCTGTGTGTATTTCACAAGAGCTTTATGAGGATGTAATTCACTCTTGTGTGATCGGTGGGGTCTGCAGGGCTCCCGCCGCCCGGGCCGGGGATGGTGCAGTGCAGTCGCGCAGGGATCTTTAGGTTAAGTCTGATGGTGTGTGTGTGTGACAGGGACGGTGCTTCCCCTTCTCTCCAAATGTACTTTTTTCAAAATCGTTTCAGCCAAAGCAAGCCAGACACAAAAGGACACACACTGATTTCACTCCCAGGAGGCTGCTCGAGTCTCCAGAGCCCGGAAGCAGGATGGGGGTTCCCGGGGCTGGGGAGGGGGATGGGGACAGTGTGTGTCACGTGCACAGTCGTAGTTTGGGAAGATGAGAAAATTCTGGAGGCCGGGTGCGGTGGCTCACGCCTGTAATCCCAGCACTCTGGAGGCCGAGGTGGGCAGATCACTGGAGGTCAGGTGTTCGAGACCAGCCTGGCCAACATGGCAAAACTCTGTCTCTACTAAAAATACAAAAATTACCTGGGCGTGGTGGCTCATGCCTGTAATCCCAACTAGTTGGGAGCTGAGGCAGGAGAATCTCTTGAACCCAGGAGGTGGAGGTTGCAGTGAGGCTCAAATAGGAGGATCGCTTGAGCTCGGGAGTTAAAAGACCAACCTGGGCAACACAGAGAAACCCCTCCCCTCTACAAAAAACTTAAAAGATTACCTGGGCACAGTGGCTCACACCTGTAATCCCAACACTTTGGGAAGCTGAGGCTGGAGGATCATTTGAGGCCAGGAAGTCAAGGCTGCAGTGAGCTACGATTGTGCTACCATACTCCAGCTTGGGCCGCAGGGTTACACCCTGTCTCAAACAAAATGCAGTTCCACAGGCGTATGGGCCACGTTTCCAGTGCTTGGTGGCCACGTGGGGCTGGCGTGTGGAACCTCAGAGCTCAAGAACACGTCCGTCATCTGGAATGTTCTCCTGGACTGCCCTGGGCTGCAGGTGGACACGACATGGTCATTCGATGCCTGAGTGTCGGCACAGCCTGTCGTGAAGACCACCTGGGCTCCCACCTCGCGGGGCCCCGTGGCAGGGGGTTTCCCTTCCTCACATCTCTCCCCTGGGAGGCTGCAGGGGCTCCGTCCCCTCCCTGGCCCCTTCTTCCAGGCTTGCAGCTGCCACAGAAAACAGACCCGATTAAAACCTTTATTTCAGCAAAATAAACGTGCCTGTGAAAGAACTACACGGTGGCTTCTGAGAGGCCCCACTGTGTACCTAAGCCCCAGGTGGCCACACCTGGTGTTCTGGAAAAGGGAGTCTAGGGCCAGTATTCAGGCCCTGCCGTACTGCACGCTGGACACCGCACCAGACCCCAGCCTCCGCCCCCATCCACGGCTCCCAGAATGGTTTCCGGAGTCCCTGCAACAGACCTGTGAGAGGCGGGGCAGGGCCTGCCGTCCCTGTGGTGACCGGGGCATGCGCCGGGCAGGGACAGCTTCCTCCATCCACACAGCCCTGTGGGCACCAACAAGGCCACCGCGACTTCACAAGACAGCAGTGTTCCTCAGCTCAGCTGGGCCGGGGTGCGGGGGAGAGCGCGGGGCACACCCCGCGGCCCCAAGGTCCTTGTGCTCCTGGAAGCTTCTGGGAGGCGGCGCGTGCTGGCAGGACAACCAAGTCCAGGTGCTCTCAGCAGCGACCCCAGGATGGGACCCCAGGACGGCACATAGAGCCCCCCTGGAGGGACAGGAGCAGGCGGGAGAGAAGCCACCTGTGGTCCCGGCCCTGCCCCAGCTCACACGAACTCAGGCTGCCTCTCCCTGCAGGAGCCCAGCGCAATCCGCCCGCCACGGAGCCTCATGGTGGGCAGTGGGGCCTGCAACACGTTGTTGGACTGGTTTGTGTTGAATCCCGAGAGCTGCTGGGCCGGGTCATCCTCGTCCCCGTCCTCCCGGGCAGTGGCCTCCAGCTGCTCCTCGCTGCCGCTGTGGCTGCCAGAAGCCTCCTCCAGGCTGGCCTCACTCTGCTGCTGCTCCAGGAAGCTGAGGCGGCGCAGGGCACTGGCCTCCGATGACGACAGCAGCTCGGAGGCCTCCTCTAGGTCCGAGTCCGAGTCGTTAGACACAACTCGGGATTCTGAGAAAGGGAGACAGAGATGGAGGAGAGACAGATGCAGAAGAGACAGAGGAGAGGTGGGGGGAGAGAGACAGGGAGAGAGGGGGAGAGAAATGGAGGAGAGAGAGACGGAGGAGAGAGAGACGGAGGAGAGAGAGACGGGGGAGAGAGAGACGGGGGAGGGAGAGACGGGAGGGAGAGATGGGGGAGGGAGAGACGGGAGGGAGAGACGGGGGAGGGAGAGACGGGGGAGGGAGGGGGGAGAGAGAGAGGGGGGAGGGGGGAGAGACAGATGGGGAGAGAGACGGAGGGGAGAGAGACGGAGGAGAGAGAGACGGAGGAGAGAGAAATGGAGGAGAGGGGGAGGGGAGGGGGAGAGAGAGAGGGGGAGGGGGAGAGAGGGGGAGGGGGAGAGACAGATGGGGAGAGAGACGGAGGGGGAGAGAGACGGAGGGGAGAGAGACGGGAGGGAGAGAGACTTGAGGAGAGAGAGGACGGAGGGAGAGAGAAATGGAGGAGAGATGGAGGAGAGATGGGGGAGAGACAGATGGGGAGAGACAGATGGGGAGAGACAGATAGGGAGAGAGACGGAGGAGAGAGATGGAGGAGAGAGAGATGGAAGAGAGATGGGGGAGAGACAGATGGGGAGAGAGACGGAGAAGAGAGATGGAGGAGAGAGAGATGGAGGAGAGAGAGATGGAGGAGAGAGATGGAGGAGAGAGATGGAGGAGAGAGATGGAGGAGAGAGAGATGGAGGAGACAGACGGAGGAGGGAGCGACGGAGGAGGGAGCGGGGGGAGAGAGAAGGGGGGGAGAGGGACGGGGGGGAGAGAGATGGTGGGGAGAGAGATGGTGGGGGAGAGATGGTGGGGAGGGAGAGATGGTGGGGAGGGGGAGACGGGGGGAGGGAGAGACGGGGGGAGGGAGAGACGGAGGAGAGAGAAATGGAGTAGAGATGGAGGAGAGAGATGGTGGGGGGAGAGAGAGATGGAGGAAAGGTGGGGAGAGACGGAAGAGAGATGAGAGAGACAAGGGGAGGGACAGAGAGAGAGGACAGGGAGTGAGGAGGAGGAGGAGAGAGATGGGGAAGAGACAGAGATGGAGGAGGAAAGGAGAGAGGGGTGTTGACAGAGTCTGGCTCTGCGTCCCCACCCAAACCTCATCTTGAAGCTCCCATAGCTCCCACGTGTTGTGGGAGGGGCCTGGTGGGGGATGGCTGAATCGTGGAGGAGAGTCTGTCTGGGCTGTTCTCGTGATAGTGAATGGTTTTCACAAGATCTGGTGGTCTAAAAAGTAGAGTTTCCCAACACAAGCTCTCCCTTTGCCCGCCACCATCCATGCAAGACGTGACTCGCTCCGTGCTTTCCGCCACGATTGCGAGGCCTTCCCACCTACGTGAACTGTAACTCCATTAAACCTCTTTCTTTTTTTTTGAGATGGAGTCTGGCTCTGTCGCCTGGGCTGGTTTGTAGTGGCCGGATCTCAGCTCACTGCAAGCTCCGCCTCCCGGGTTCACGCCATTCTCCTGCCTCAGCCTCCCGAGTAGCGGGGACTACAGGTGCCCGCCACCTCGCCCGGCTAGTTTTTTGTGTTTTTTTAGTAGAGACGGGGTTTCACCATGTTGGTCAGGCTGGTCTCAAACTCCTGACCTCAAGTGATCCACTTTGGCCTCCCAAAGTGCTGGGATTACAGGCGTGAGGCACCGCGCCTGGCCTCAGGTGTTTATCAGCAGTGTGAAAACAGACTAATACAGAATTACCTAACTAGATGCGGCACTCAGGGCTGGCTGCCTCTGACAGGTGGCGCCAGCCCCACCTGAGTGAAATCCCCAGTCCCGCGCCCTTCTCTAGAAAATGAGGCTGCTGCAGGAAAGGCACTTAGCCTGGCCAGGTGCCTGGTGCACCTGGAGCCTTACACAGCGTCAGCCGCACGTTCACATTACCGGTTTCTGAGTGCGGGGTAGGCACGTCAAAAGGCACTGCCTTGCCTCTGTTTGCAGCTGGTTAAAAGAAAATGAACGAGTAGCTCACAGGTGTGGTCTCCGTGGCAGACAACATCCACAGAACGTGCTGCACCGTGGACCCTGCGCCCATGGGTGGCACACGCCGGCCTCCCTTGGGGCTGTTCGGGCAGCCACACACTCACCTCTGCACCCATCCTCCGCAGCCTGCTGCAGGGGGTAGGCCACCCCCTCGCCCGCCTCCAGGTACGGCACCTGGATGACCACCTCAGCTCGCTGGCTGGATGACTCGTCCTGCAAGGGCAGAACGGAGGTCAGGGAGGGGCCAGGGCTCCATTTTCCATGTTATAAATTAACAAACACACCACACAGCCCCTAACAGCTACTGACACCCGCTGCTGCCCAGGCTGTGACCACACTGGCCGTTCCCACAAGGTACATGGGAGGAGAATTTCTGAAATTCCGCTCCTCTCGCCACCCACGGCTGCTCCTGTCCCCATCTGTGGTTTCTCCCGAGAGCTTCAAGAGGAGCACAGGATGGAAAGGCCATGTTCAGCACAGACACCGTCAGAGCTGCGGGCCCCACTGTCCTGAGACCGTCTGTCCTCAGCCAAGAGCA